TGCCAGCACCAACAGAAGAGAGTGTGTGTGTGTGTGTGTGTGTGTGTGTGTGTGTATTGGAATGCCACCACCCTGAACAACATTACCCAAGTCGACAGAAGAACTCTTCTGTCAACATAGCTGCTCCGATGCTGGGGATTTTTGCAGCATATCTATGTCACTAGGGATTTTGTTTTTTTCACACCCCTGACCAATGAAACTATGCTGACATATCATTAAGTGCAGGCTAAGCATGAGTAAATCTGGACTAATCCCACTAAAGTTTAGAGTGTAGTGAAGTGACCTACGTAACTTCAGGTTTATAGCAGTGAAACAGAACAGATTCAGGCCCAGGATCTATATTAAAAACACTCATTAGTTTTAGCATAAGATTCTTCCTCATTTTTCGCTGAGATTTTGAATTTTCTGAACATAGGAAAATAGGAGACAGGATCCACGAGACATTTGCTGAATTTTTCCTCTCCCCTGCCCCATTTATGAGTGGTATTTCAAAACATTCAACTCTAATCTTGAGTTTTCCAGTAGCGTATGGTCATTAAATCGCAAGTCACTTTTGGGATTGGCTATGTCCAGGTTCACGACAGTGAGAGAGCAACAATCTGTCACTGCTTGGGTCACCATCAGTCTCAAGCAGAGAACTTGGGCACAGAAAATTTTGATCCTTATATGTCTCACAGTTTAATAACACTGTGGTATTAGAGAACTCAAGATATTACTTCGGCAGGAATTAAAATGTGGCATGAGGAACCATTCCCAAGACAGTTCTGAGTGTGTTATATATCACAGTGTGCTTTGGGAAATGTTTCCATAAGAGCCAGAATACAGGTGGACAATTTTTCATCTTGTGGCTCTTTTTTTTTTCTCCTGCCAATGGATTGTCTGAGCCATGATAGGATCCACCTGCTGGCATTTCAACAGGTCATTCTGAGGCCCATTATACAAGCTTGTTCTCCCCCTGTGTAATGAAAATGTGAGATGGAGTACCTTGGGCGATGAATGATTGTCTGGCCCTGCTCTTTATGTCCGTGTGTAGGCTGTTGCCTGTAATATCGACATGACCTTTTTGGTATATGTCATGGCAAACAGATTGATTGATTTCCAATTTCACATCATCCATTTGCCGTATGCAATTTCAAAATCTATCATCAAGCAGTACGTCTTGCATAGAGCTCAGAACCACTTACCAGCTTAGCTCAATTATTATAAATTCTGTGATCAGCCACAAATTGGTAGCAATCGTTTACATAATATCCAAGAATTAAAATGATGAATACTGCAAAAAAGTTACACACCTATATGCACTTAGGAGTGATATCACACAGCCAGTTCTTAAGATAATGTTATGCTCAAAAGTGCTGGTGGCTGTCTAGATCATGGAGTTGGTTGGGTTGATGGGTGTACTAAGCAACTTCTATTCAGGCTAACTGTGGGAACCATTCAATACCCGGGGTATACTGATAACTGAAACAATGGAAACCAATGCCCAGGGTCTGCACCAGCAAGGCAAGCCTAGGCAGTGGTCTGGCCATGCTGATTAAAGCTGATAACAAACACAGGGGCAGGACAGTTACTGAGGTAGGGTTGTGCATGTGTGCATGCACCAGACAGAAAACCTCTGATAGTGTGTCCCTGAGAAAAATATAAAAAAGAGAGCTTCTGGGTTAAGTGCTGGCTGAAAGAGACTTGGAACGGTGAGCCAAGAAGCTATCTCCTGTTGTTTTCTTCTGGTGGCAGGATTACATCAAAGAAATAACTGACTATCAACAGTTTCTCTTAATAAAAACAACCCACAGTGTCCCAAACTTGAGTAGCTGGTTGAGTCACAAAGGAGTAACAATATTATCAGCTTTTTTGGTTTTTAATAACTCCCAGAACAGAGAATGTAGGAGAATTTCACCTTCCAGCTGATTAGACAGAGTGGAGAATCAGCAAGAGAATCAATTGGAAGCTGACCTAAATTCCAACCTAATCTGTTTACCTGGCAGGTTGACTCAGGAACTGGAATTGTCACTGGGTGTACCTCATAGGATTTAAGGAGTGAAGAAGCTATTGGAAGGAAGCTAGCTGTAGTATTCTCTCTATTAGGGTGACGAGATGTCCCGATTTTGGGGTCTTTTTTTTATATAGGCTCCTATTCCCCCCCACCTCCTGTCCCGATTTTTCACACTTGCTGTCTGGTCACCCTACTCTCTATTGTCTTTCATGAAGTGGGTGAGATTCATGGGATCTCCATTTTATTGCTTGTTAGGGAGCCCTACTCTGTTTATAAACTGGAGATTTTAAAAATTGTTAATCTCTCTGCCAATAGAAGATTGGTAGATATAATTTCTCATGATCCATGGTAGGTGTGAGAACATTCCTTCCATTTTCTCTTATGGCAGAGTAATGCCTTCCCTTAGGCCAGTGATATCCATACACAATTCTTACTCAAGCAATCAACACCATGTTGTAATTGTTCCAGTTCAGACTAGCTAGTGTTACCACAGAAGGAAATTTAAGAAGAAACTGTAACTCGGAAACACTTCTCAGAGTCACAACATGCCCGTTCTGCTGGCATACATGTTGTAGGGAGGTGGCCCCGCACAGGATTGCACCAGGGTTTTTGCTGCCCTAGGCGGCAGCGCTCGTCCTCTGAGCATTCGGTGGCAGGAATCCTTCCGCTCCGTGTCTTTGAGGCACTTTGGTGGCGGGTCCCGGAGTGAGCGAAGGACCCGCCGCCGAATTTCCGCTGAAGACCCGGAGCGGAAGGATCCCCCCGCTGCTGAATTTCCGCTGAGGGCAGCAAAATGCCTCCCTCCAAATCCTGCCGCCTTAGGCGACCGCCTAAGGTTGCCTAGTGGAAGCGCCAGCCCTGGCCCTGCATAACCCACACACATCTCTCCCCTAATCCCTCCCAGCTACTTACTCAGAGTGGGACAGGAAGTATCAGGCATATAGCCTCTGTTTTCTCCTCTGCCTCCAAACTTAAGATGCAAGTAGGTCCTGTATCCTGCTTCATCATGGAACTACATAGACCACAGTCTCAATCTATCTCGTAATATTTGTATGCAAAATCCCCAATAATCATTCAGTTCCTTAACTGTAACCTACAGTTGGATCTGGGCCAGATCCTCAGATGGTGTAAATGGAGTATACTGTTTTACATCAGCTGAGGATCTGGCACAGATGAGCTTTGACATTTAAACGTGTTATAATATGCAGTTGCGTTGCACTGGAGTTCACATTAATAACTGGTATGCAAAGCTGGCACTTTTTAGTATTTCCCTTTGGCTCTTGATGTTTCATTCTTAAAACTATTGCTTAATTGTGTATTGAACTGACAGCATTGCACCTTGCACCAGTTTTAACTTGCCTCAAATGTAAGCAGGATTCAGTGCCTGCCCTGAAACAGTCTCAACTTGGTTTGCTTAAAGAGTGGTTACATTTAACAAATGAATTTGTTTGTTGCATTGTGGCTTCTCTATGCTCATTCCAGGATAAAATCTTGCTCACCTTGCTTGTGGATGTAGTACCAGTGCCTTCAGTGGTGGTGTTCGCATGAGGCTTGCAAACAAGATTGAGTCCTTTGCTTCTGTTTGCAGCTGGCTGGTTTGCAGCTGGGCTGGTTGCTGTTCCCGTCCTTTATACACAGTCCTTGCGGGTTTCCATTGACTTCAGTGAATTTTGGTAATTGAATCAGGTCCTAAACTATTGGTTCAACTGGTCTATATTAAGAACCAGGTCCATTAGCCTTTGTGCATGTGAGTCAAAAGGACTGCTTCAATGTACAAGGATAGCAAGATCAGACCCTAAAGATTATGTAGGGTCAGTCTGCAGCTGTGCCACAGCAAAGCTTGCACACCTGAGGTGGGGGGAAGCAAAGATCATCCTAAGCTACCTTTCTACCTTTTCTAATTCTGGGGCTGACTGAGCACCAAGCCAGCCCCTGGCTCAAGTTATAGCAGCTGCCTAAAGGCTGCTCTAAGTTGCATTGCCTTACATTCCCTGGGAGCCATTATGCCAGCTAGGATCATCAAACCACAGTCCTGCTCTTGCTAGCCTCCTGCATACCCCCGGAGTAGTGGACGATAGAGGAGAAATGTGTACTAAGATGGGTTGATGTAGAGTCATACATGCAGTTTTTATGCCAGACTTCCCCTTAACATCACCATTACTTTGCTTTCCGTTACACCAATTCCTTTGTTCTTTGTGTACTACAAACTCTTTTGCTGGGATCTTGTCATCTTACTCTTTTTTTCAAAAAAATGCGTAGCCACTTTTTGCTTTTATGCACATAATAATAGTACTTAATGCAGAGAACAAAAGGAAGGATATGGGGTAGATGTGCTGTTTGTATAAAAGGGGGCTAAGGATAAGAAAATGAAGGAAACGGTTTGTTTGTTTTTTGTCATAGGTGTACCAAAATTCCCAAAAGAAAAGATTGAGCCAATTGAGGTAGAGTATGGTGATGCTGTGGTTTTGCACTGTAATCCTCCTAGAGGAATTCCACCTTTGCATATCTATTGGATGAATATTGGTAAGTAACATTTGATGACACAACACATAACAGGCCTTTCTTAAAATGCCTGTCCAAGATCAGTTTCATGACAAATTCATAACTGATGAAAATTATAAGTGTAAGCGCTAAGGACAAATATATGGGTGGCATTGTAGGCAACCCAGTAAAAGACTTTATTTAATGTGCAAGAGCAATCAAAAGCACAAGCAATATTATAAGGATGGAAATTCAGACCCCATGAAGTAACTGGCAAAAGTCCAGTGAGTTTTTAAAGAATGGGATATAAATCAATATCTAAAATGTTATAATGCCATTACATAAATCAAAGGTGAATATGAATATTTTGTTTAGTTCTGGTCACTCCATCTCAAAAAAGGTTGTGGCAGAGGGATTTAAGAGATAGGTAACAAGAATGGTTACACACATGGAAAGCTACTGGTAATAATGGTACAGAAAGATGAATCAGGTCGTCTTCTGCACCTTTTATAATGTGTATATACAATGAAACTGGAAGGCAAAACATTAAAGTTGATGAAATAAAATACTTTTTAACATAACACATACTTAACCTGTGAAACTCATTGCCACAAGATAACACTGAGTGCAAGAGCTCAGCAGGGTTTTAGAAAGGGCTAGACACACACAGATAATCAGAACATTCAGTTACAGTAAAGTGGATAAAATACACCAATAGTATAAACCATCCTGCTTCAGAAGGCAAGCCAACCATTAATTGACAAGATTATGAATAACCTTTCTCTATTGTCCGGTTATGGCATAATTGGCTATTTTGGGGGATTCTGTCATCTTCTTTAAATGTCTAGGGTGAAATCTTGGCCTCATAGAAATCAATGGCAAACTCCCATTGACTTTGGTGGGACTGAGATTTCACCCTTAGGATTTATCACTATCAGAGACAGGATTCCAGACTAGATCGATAGACAACTGCTCTCATTCCACATTTGGCTGGTTTAACAATGAGCCAACAAAACCTTTGCAAGTCTAGGAGTTACATACTATAAGGTGTACTTACAGGGAAGATAAGTTTGGGTTCTGCACAGTGGAAACCTAGAAATCAAGGCATCCGTGGCAGTGCTGCAAGTCTTTGTAGCTCTGAAACTTGCTGGGATTTTCACTGCATCATCCCCTAGTAATTACAGAATTAAAGTACAGGAACAAAACTGACTTTCCAGAGAATTCATGCTGTTTTTGAGAAAGGTTACTTAGGTTCTTGTTTCATAAACTCCCATTCCCATGGCTGTAAAAGGACACAGAGATTATGATTATGTTGCACCTCTTTCCTCTTTTGCATCAAAGTTCCATTCTGCACCTGAAAGCAAACACAAGACAGGAAGTGTAAATTGAGGGATGGCTAGATATTATTACCATATTATAATTATTTTTTTCTTGCTAGATTTACAACACATTCCACAAGATGAAAGGGTCTCCATGAGCCTTAAGGGAGATCTGTACTTTGCAAATGTGGAAGAAAATGACAGTCGAAGCGATTATTGTTGCTTTGCAGCATTTCCCAGGCTGCGGACAATCGTTCAGAAAATGCCAATGACACTGATGGTTACACGTAGTAAGTCTTTTAAAAATTGTTTTAACTCCTCCTTGTCACTGAATGAAAAAGTGTGCCATGTGTCTAACATGATTCTCTCTGAAGAAAATACATGTTAATATGCTTATTCCTATATTATAAGCCTTGCTCTGAGAGCTAGATCCAACCGATAAAAAGCTTCTGCAGATGCTGGGCTGCAAAAGCGCTATTGTCTTCCTCCTGTTCTCCACAACTACGAAATCTAATCACGATGCATCAGGGAAATCAACTCCCTTCTCAGCCACTGAGTGGATCATTAGGCATTCCATACTGCCTCTTCCCCCGAGCCTGGGTTTGCCTGGATATGGCAATCGGGCTCTGGAGAATGACATTAGGGAGCTGCAGTTAACATGATCAGGGAGTACTCCAGGTGTCCTATTATGCAGCAAGGTTCTTGTTTGGCTGACTGGATATTAGAGCACTTCGAAATGGCCATAACCTAGAGTTCTTGGTTTGTACCTGACAAGTCTGTTCCTGAGCTCAGCCATGGAGAGCCAATGGTACCATTTGCCTTCACTTCTATTAATAGTAATCAGAATATAACAGTAGTGCCCAAGCACCAGCCAAGGATGGTGCCCCACTGTGAGAGGAACTGAACGAACAATAGAAGATTATCCCTGCCCACTTTTGATAGGTGCCCAAGAGAAGGTAGAAATCAACAGAAGTCGTGACTGGTCCCTCTGTCTCTGAATGCACAAAATCACCTGTCACTTAGAAAAAAAGCCTCACAAACCCCATTATTTTGTAAGTTACAAAAGCATCAACTTTCATAATCTTGGGGAGAACTGGGTGTCAATACTTTCCCAGTCACAGGAAATGTACTCCTACTCTAGAGCAAGAGGAAAACTTGTTTGCATGGCTGCCTCTAGTAAGAAGTAAAAAGCATGGAGGAATTGAGCATAATATGGCATGAAAGGAGCTTTGCATTTCCTGACTGAAAGGGCGAATAGGAGACACGGAGCTGTTCGTTTTCTGAGTCGTGGCCATTGTAGCTACCCAGTTTTTGGCAGATGAAAAGAACACCAGATACGTCAAATCTTTTCAGTTTCCAAAAATGAGAAAAAGGTAGTTTCAGGTACTATGCCTGCATGTGAGTTCAAACCAGACAACAAAGGAAACAAAGTGACTCTATATACAGAATGTACAGGAAACAGTGAGATTGTGCTTTTGACAGAAGCCAAACAAACAAACAAACAAACAAACAGAAAATCAGAGATAATATGGTAGGCCACGTTCTCAGGTTGGGGTAATCAAAGCTTCATTGAACTCAGTGGAGTTATGACAGTTTACACTAGCTGGAGAGCTTTCCCATTTTGCTTGACTCATTCCGTTGCAGTAATTTTAAGTGTCACTTGCAAGAATAAATATGTTAAAAATCAATTGAGAATATATATTATTTTAGTCTGGCTTTGTCACCCTTCTGGTTTCAATAATATCTGACTTTTGGGGATTTATGTTTCCTAAAAAAAATCAGGGATATTTTCTTCCCAATCGAAAAACCTCAATATTTAACTTACAAGCCATATATTTTCTTGCTGGGGCAAAAAGATAAATAATTAATAACACTAAATTCATATACCTTAATACTTGGTTAATCCATCTTGAGGCCTCAGCTGGAGTACTGTGTCTAGTTCTGGGTGCCATATATGAAGAATGGTGTGGACAAATTAGAGTCCACATGAGCAACAAAAATGATAAAAGGTTTAGAAAACCTGAACGATGAAAGTTAAAAATAAACTCTAGGCATGTTAAGTCCCGAGAAAAGAAGACTGAGGGGGGACTTGATAACAGTGTTCAAATATGTTAAGGGCTTTTATAAAGAAGATAGTGATAATTTTTTCTCCATATCCACTAACCGTAGGACAAGTAGTAATCAGCTTAATCTGAAGCACAGGAGACTTAAATTAGATATTAGGGAAAACTCTCTAACTGTAATGATAGTTAAGTACTGAAATAGGCTTCCAATGGAGGTTGTAAAATCCCTGTCATTGGAGGTTTTGAATAATAAGTAAGACAAAAACCTGTAAGCGATGGTGTAGGTCAGTGGGGGTACGCAGAGGTCTTCCACGGGTACAGCAACCCATCTAGATATTTGCTTAGTTTTAAAACAGGCTACGTAAAAAGCACTAATGAAGTCAGTAGAAACTAAAATTTCATATAGACAATGACTTGTTTATACTGCTCTATGTACTATACACTGAAATGTAACTGCAGTATTTATATTCCAAGTGTTTTATTTTATAATAATATGGTAAAAATGAGAAAGGAAGCAATTTTTCAGAAATAGTGTGCTGTGACGCTTTTGTATTTTTATGTCTGATTTTAGAAGCAAGTAGTTTTTAAATTAGATGAAATTTGGGGAGTACGCAAGACAAATCAGACTCCTGAAAGGGGTACAGTAGTTTGGAAAGGTTGAGAGCCACTGATCTAAGTATACTTGACCCTGCCTCAGCAACGGGTCTGCACTAAATGACCTTTCAAGGTCCTTTCCGAACCTACTTTTCTATGATCTATGATGCTAAGTTTTAGGATATTAATTGTAAGTAAAATATCAGAAGTAAATATTGTATTCTATAGATGTGTAAATGTCTCCAGTCACACACACAGTGGAGGACTTCATCCTGCAGGCTTTGGAACACTCTGGCCTCAGGGCAGTAAACTACTTAAGTACATGCACGTTACTGTTGAAGTCAATGGGATTATGTATGTACTTAAAGTGAAGCACATGCCTAAGTGCTCTGTGGGATTGGGGCCAGAGTGCCCCTACTGAGGCATTGTGTCTGAGACCAAGAAGAGGCATATAAATAACAAAGGAGAAAAGATTAAGGATAGACTCTTTTAATGAATGCTAGGAACCTACCAATCTTATTCGACATAACTCTGATAAAATCACTTTTTAGTGAATCTTTTCCTGAGTTTTACATCTTTTTAATGCTTTCTTTATACATATAGAAATTCATTGTCTGTGTTGATTTGCATTATATTCTTTTGGTGATTTTATATAAAATATATTTACATTTCCTTTAAGGAAGTATTTTGTGTAGGTTTCTTTTGTTTGGTTGACGTTTTGTTTGTTTTGACCTTTTAACCTATATCAACTATTCCGTTTGCATTTGGTTTTCATTTTTGTTTATTTCAGTTAAACATACTAATGACTCAAGCTCACCTAATGCTGCTGTTACTAAGGGTGAGTTGAATGTACCTGTTTGTTTCTTTGCCTTTTGAATTCACGAGAATACTTAAGAGCCACTTAATGTGTTGGGTAATTAGAAATTTTAGTAAAATGAATTATTCTATCAATTTAGATGAAATACTGTGACTGCTTAGGAAAAACTTTTAACATGCTTGCTGGGTATAAGCAGCACATGGATCAATATTGACTCCGTCTTTACTATCTTGACTGAGGTCTGAAGGATTTTTCACATTACTGCATCTCTCTTCCGTGTGAAATAAAGGGCTCAGAGAAGTGGTCCTGACAAATAGAAACTGTTTTTTAGAATAGGCAGTTTTGCTGATCAAGAAAGTGATTTCAAGCTAGATGAAAAAAAACATGAAGGAATTATATGACCAGCTAGTGTTAGAATATGCTGTGAAGTTTAATGTAACAATAGCAGAAACTATGGATAGGATTGATAAGGGTGTGTAGCTAACAGAATATATCTGGATTCTCAACCCAAATACTAGAGTTTGTTGGAAGATTTTAGATGAAAGTTTTCTATTGGAAAATGCTGTTTTGACAAAACTGAACATTTTCACAAAATGGATTGATTTTGAGGAAATTTTGTTTCTTTTTTTTAAAGGAAAAAGCTATTAAAATGTTTAGATGTCCTGTTTTGATATTTTTGGATCTAGAAGTTTTGATTTTTGTTTATGTATCATAAGCTTTTCTTCCTAAATTTACTTTATTTTTTTCATATTGAATCATAAAGGGTCAATATTAAAAAAAAGGGGTTGAGTTTAGTGAAACAAAATGTTTCAAGTGACTCAAAATGATATTTTTGCGAGGTATTTCATTTTGTGAAAAAATTCAAAATTATGGTTTTTTGTTCCAATTCGGGTACAAAACAAAAACTTTTCATGAGAAGGAAAATCTATTTTCCACCCAGTTCTACCAAATACCTTATTTTTCGCCAAACATGGTTAACAAGAGAGAATATATTTTAAAATTAAGTCCATCATTTCCAAAACTAACTAGTGATTTTGAGTGCCTCAGTTTCTGGAGTGCCCAACTAAGAGGGCACTGAGAGGGACTTGATTTTTCAGAAGACTAATGCTGAACAATTTCTGAAAATCAGGCCATTTTCACGTGTCTCATGCTGGACACCCAAGAGTGCTATTCATGTCTAAAAATCTAAGCATATGTGGGTGACCATTTGTGTACAGCATATGTACTCACCGGTATGTAGTGCACACTGTACAAAGAGACCCAAAGCAATTAAAGAAGGGGAGAAGAAAACTGGCTTGTAAGATAGAAATGATCTATTACCAAATTATCAGTAAATCACTTTTCTTGAAGAATCAGTAAATATTTGAATGACATATTGGCTATTAATTATTACTGAATAGCCATTTAACGATATAAATTGTTAAAACGTATTGTCAAAGAAACAATTGATTTTTTGTTGGCAGTCTAGAGTAAATGGTTATCTGAAACCCAGTACAATAAAAAGGAGTTTTGTTATGAACAGTGGCTTGTTTTCAAGCTGTATTCCCAAATGCATTCTTGAGTTATTGTAAATTCTGCAACTGTAGAGGGAAGGAGAATTCTAAGTTGCTGGCAAAGGAGAAAAGATATGATATCAGCTGAGATTTAGAAGACAATGTAAAGTTAGTGAAGGGGAAAGGTATTAGGAAGACTGTTCCAGATGGCAAGAACAGACAAGGAAAGACTCATTCACCACCGTTGGTCAGAGTGTGTGGACGAGGGGAGAAATAAGGAAGCAGAGAGGAGGCAAGTACTAACTGAGCAGGCAAGAGAATAGAAAAATGGTCCACGAGAGGGGCTGGAGCAAATCCGCCGTAGAGTTTTTTGAAGGCATGGCAGGAAATTCTGAACTGGTTCTTAAAATTGACTGGGAACTAGGGAGGTTGTTTGAGGATGAGGCACACTTCTTAGGGCATGTGAGGTGGGAAGCCGAAATCTTCTTAGGCTATCACCTGGAGAGATGGGACTTGGATCTTAGTTTGGAGGGATTAGAAGAGATTTCAGCAGAGTTGAATCAGAGCATCTGGCCCAGCCAGCCTGTCACCCGGCTTCTCCCCAGCTTCCAAAAACTCGCTGCCACACCCAGTCTTCTCTAGGATGGGTTAGCCTCTTACCATAGGCAAGTAAAACAACAGAGAACAGCCTTTTAACTCTTCTTTTCTCTCAGGCTTCCGAGTCACCTCTCAGAGGCATCTCTGGTGCTTCTGTCCTGGCAGCATCCCAGTTCTAGTCAGCTCTGCTTCCCTGAGCCCTGAGACCCTTCCAGGGACCAATCACAGGAATTAGCTGCACTCAACCATGATTTTCCTTCCTTTCCCTAGGCATGGCCTGTCTCAGTTGTTCCCTTCCATCTCCCATTTCCTCCCCTCTGGTAACACTTAATAGGCACAGGGATAGCCCAGGCCCCTTTAATTGGCTGGATTGGGCTTACCTGCTCTGACCCAGGGGAGTTGGGCCCAGTTCTACTCAAAGGGACCAGCTCCCCTGTAACACACCCCTTCACCCTACCATTTGGGAGTCATACTGGTGCAGCTGCAACTCCGGTCCTTTTAAGAGTGCCATATCCCAACCAACATCATCTGCAACCAGCTCTTGTGCCAACATAATTCAGGCCCCATGCACATCTTCTGGGTTGGTTTGCCTCTTTCAGACATCAACAGTAGCAACCAGAGAGAGAATCCCCCACTGTTGTATGACTCTAGCCTAAGCCATTGCCCACCCCTGAAAGCTGGATGGAAAAGAACTACTCATGAGAGTAAAGTTGTGTATCTCTTTAAGGGTTTGCAGGTTCAGGGCTCCGGTTTTGAGGGAGAGAAGTTTCTAATTTTATTCCTGTTACTATAGTTGTGTTTTGAATGTAAGTAAAAAACCAGAGCTGTAGGTAGGTCCTTTAGAAAAATACCACAAATATAAAGAAAATGAATGAATGAATATTCCAGAAATCTTCTGACCAAAGCAATATTTTTAGCACTGGTTAGAGGGTACAGAATGATTCAGGGGCATATGTTATCACCTTACTGCACAAGGTCTGATCCTTTTCTTTTCTCCTTTTTAGCTAATTTCATCAAGGAAAGAAAACCCAAAATACTGATACCACCTGAATCTTCTGGTAGCAGCTCATCAGTTACTGTCATCAAAGGGGGAGTTCTACTGCTTGAATGCATTGCTGAAGGGCTGTGAGTACTGCACCCACTTAACCTTCTGAAATAAAGTTAGAGTAAAAGGAAGCACCTTTAATAATTCTCCAACGAAGTATATAATTTTACACCAAATCTTCATGCAGTTTCTCTTTAAATAAATTGTACTTATTGAAAACTGGCATAGAGTTACGATGGAGAAAGTTTCCTGTTGGAGAGTGAATAGTGTACAGGTTATAGACAAGTATAACTAAAGAATCAGCATTTACCATAGTAACTGGCATATCACAGTTATTTATCCATCCTGTGATCACTGATTTTGCAGATATTCCAGTATGGTGACCACTGAAAATCATTATTCTTTTTTGAGTGCATTAGGAATTGATTCAACTTCCACAGTTTGGACTCCAATAAAAAACAACCTGTTTTTCTTTTCTAGCTTGGCCAGTTCAGAGTATTGTTTAAGTATCAATAAATTCCTGAGCTTTTCCACCTTCAATGAGATTTCAATTTCTTGAGCACCATCGTACAAGGATTCATGCCTTCCATGATGCCCGTTCAGAAACAAACCCAACAACAGAGTAAAAGACTGGGGGCATTTGACATATCTGGCTTCAAGACTAAGCTTGATAAGTTTATGGAGGGGATGGTATGATGGGATAGCCTAATTTTGGCAATTAATTGGTTTTTGATTATTAGCAGGTAAATATGCCCAATGGTCTGTGATGGGATATTAAATGGGGTGGGATCTGAGTTACTACAGAGAATTCCTTCTTGGGGGTCTGGCTGGTGAGTCTTGCCCACATGCTCAGGATTTAGCTGATTGCCATATTTGGGGTCGGGAAGGAATTTTCCTCCAGGGCAGATTGGCAGAGGCCCTGGGGGTTTTTCGCCTTCCTCTGCAGCGTGGGGCACGGGTCACTTGCTGGTGAATTCTCTGCACCTTGAAGTCTTTAAACCACAATTTTAAGACTTCAATAGCTCAGCATAGGACAGGGGTTTGATACAGGAGTGGGTGGGTGGGTGAGATTCTGTGGCCTGAGTTGTGCAGGAGGTCAGACTAGTATTAGTATTAGTACTAGTATTAGTATTGGTAATACCATAGTGCCAAGGAGCCCTAGTCCTGGCCCAATAGTACCCCATTGTGCTTGTACAAAAAGACCATTCCTGCCCCCAAATAATTTATAGTCTAAGACAAGATGCAACAAATAGATACAGATAGGCAGGGGTATGTATGTCTTATTGCCATTAGCGCAGGATGGAAAATGAGTGGGAAATGGGACAGTCTAAGCAGACATGATTGAAGTGCAATCCTCATGATGATGATGTGGCATTTAGCTGTGAATACCCCTCTAGGCCCTGATTCCCTTGAGTGTGCAGGGGTAACTTGGCAACCATACAACAATACTTTCATCAACATGGGATCAGGTTTACCGATGCCCTCCATCCTGATCACCACTTTTTACTTATGCGTGCAACTTTCTTGTACTTACTTGTACTTATGCGTGCAACTTTCTTCCCGAAAACAGTTGCGTAGAAAAACTAGGTAAAGCTTAAAAGCCTTCCAACCATTAAACCTAACAGGGAAAACACATTTGCTCCTGGGTGATGTGTGATAGAGCTCTCTGTTGAATGGGTGTTTAAATCATCATGTTTACAACCTGTATTGTTGAACTCCACATCCCTGTGTGCTCACTGTGATTAGAAGATAAATGATCCATATGAAAGCATGTGCAATTATCTCCCACTATAAACCTCAAAATCAGGGTGTTTATCTGCCTGAGCAAACGTGTTCAGGGCATCTTGTTTGTCCATGCTTGTTTGAAAGGGCATCACTCACTCTTTGAATAGACAAGATTATGACTTTGCAATTGGTTGCCATTTTCTGAGAGCATGTGAACAACTCATCTTTGTTGGATTCATTCCAAGTAACTGTAATGGACTCTTGTTCCTTTTTGCAATACATCCCATGTCTAGTTCACTGCCACTTTCACTGTGAACTTCCTTTTTATCCAGTGGATGGATTCTTTCAAAAAAAAAATTGTGTGTAAATTTTATGCTCAGAAATGTAAGGAACCGATCACGTTGGTTGAAACAAGGACAGTATGGGAACTTGTTCTGCACATTTCCTCATAAAACTTTCCCCATGTAATAATTAAAGCAGGTAGGAGAAAGGAAAGTATACTTCATAAAAATGTTAAAACGGAATGAACACTTTACATTTACATGTCCATTCAAAATTTCCCATGACCTTGGAGAAAAAGTACTTCCTCTTTCAAGTATATATAGAAAAGTTGGGGTGGGGATGAATTACAAACCATGAGGGAGTTATCCCCATTGAAACAAAATAAATATTTTTTTAATCAAATATTTTTGTTTTGTTTTTAAGATTTACATCAAAACATGAACAAATTAGGCCAAAATGGAAAACAAATATCTTGTAGTCAAAAAGGTACTTTTCTTTGGAAAAAAAAGAATGAAAACTTTTTGATGGACTCTAACTGTATTCCCCCACTTATCTCCCCTCGCAGCTGTTCTATGCAGTGAGCAAATGTCAATGAGGAACTAGATTGGCTAGATTGAGACAAGTATCAAACTCCAAAAACGAGGACCAGTCAATCAAAAAATAATTAATGGCAATAAATATATTGCCACTTTGTGATCTCGGAGGATTTTACCCTGATCTTGAAAATGGCAGGCAACCTCCTCCAGATGGTACAAAGATCTAAACTGGTGTTGATGAAATGTAAGGGGTTTCATAGTGTCTCTGTTTCAGTACTATATCAGGGATGAACTCTCTTGCAGAAAATTTGACACTTGAACTATTATCCATGCTGTTCATAAAAGAACATAATTTCTCGGTACCTGGGGCTTTGAGTAACTTGTGCCTGGGCATTCTGCCATCTTAACAGATGGACACAAGAGTAAGCAGATATGACACTGACACTGTTTATATGCATCATGTGTGGTGCTGGGGTCAGGAAACCCAGCTGGGAATGTTCAGACAGCAATCTGTCCTGTACTTCAGTGTCTCTGGTTCTGAGCAGGCTCCTAACTTCCTAAAAATATAAAGTAGCATTTTTCAGCCATCTGTGACATGTGCTTAGCTCTGTCTAATCAGGCAGAGTACAGAGCAGAGTTATTTTAATGAAGTCTTTACCCCCTTGTCTGTCTGCAAGAAGTCCCTATGGAACAGGACAAAACAAGCTTCAGTGCCTCTACTACAGTTCATGCCAATATGTTTACAAGGGATGCAAACCTGTTTTGCGGCCCACTGTCAGCTATGAAGGATTTGTTGTACAGGTCCCTTTTAACCAACAGGCAGTACAAGCTATGGACAATATCAAACCTCCAGCCAGGATGTTTTAATAAGTAAAATGGGTGGTTATGTGCACAAAGGAGGGCCATTTTGAGAATTCTGAAATCATGATCTTGCAAAGGGAAATGTATAAACTTCAACATTCTGTAGTTACACTGATGTGAAATGTTACAACTTCGTTTTTTTTAAACTCAACATCTTCTTTCTTTTTCTGCTAGCCCAACTCCGCATCTTAATTGGATCAAGGTTGGTAGAGATTTGCCCAAGGACAGAGCAGTGACAGAAAGTTTTGGAAAGATTTTGAAGATAGAACAAGTATCTGCAGCAGACGAAGGCACTTATGAGTGCACAGCAAGCAATTCTGTGGGGAAAGCGAAACATGAGTTTCAAGTTCACGTGGAAGGTGCCATTTACATTTTAATGGGTTTTAGATTTTGAATAATAAACAAACAGGGGTGTCAGAATCTCTGCCGGTATCAATCAGCACAATTCCATTGAAGTCTCTGGAGCTGCATTGATTTATACGAGCTGAGGATCTGTCCCAATGATTTTATATTTGCACAGTGTAGCATTCAATTTCATGTAAAATGATTATTTTTTTCACAAACCATGAAGATTTTGTAGCATGGGAAGTAAAAATGGTAATATATTCAAAAACAGTCATCTAAACTATAGAGATATGCTTTAGTCAAGCACAGGTTATTGGATTAAATTCTGGCATGTGTTATGCAGAACTCAGGCTAGGCAATCTAATGTTCACTTTTGGCCTTAAAATCTATGAAACTATCAGAGGTTTAATTTACTTATTTTTTTAATGTGGGAAATATAGTAACTTTGACTGGATCTTGCACGCTTTATTCAAACATAACTCCTAATCTGTAGAGTAAAGTCTGTCTGATAAATCCAAAGCATCTTGCATAGAAAGGAGAAATTAGGAGAAACAATCCTGGCCTCAATAATGGGAACATAACATAGTCACAAAAGAGTAATCTCTGTGTTTTTAATTATATTTGCCACCATTTGAAAGGTGTCAGTGATGTCTTAGCTAGATTACTGCAGTTTTCTTGCCTCGCTCCCCTCCAGGTTTCTCAAAATATCACAGCTGAACAATCTGCTTCATTTCCTACCACAGGACTCTGATCTTTTCTCCGGCTCCTTCCACATTGTAGTGAAACTTCTCAGCCTCACTTGCAGGACTCTGCTGCTACCTATATTTCAGCCACTGTGGTACACTCAAGTGCTCATTTTTTACTCTGCTGATTTTGCTTATCTTTATGATCCCTTGACCTCATCTTCTTCAGAACCCAAATTCTACTGTCATGCTACCCCACACATCTGGAACCACTCCTTCCTCTCCAGTGCAACTAGTGACACTATTCTTCTTTTAATCCCTCACCCATGCCTACTTTTTTTCCTGCCATCACTGATTTTCACTAGAGCACTTCCCTGTGACATTCTCATCCCTAAATGAACTTACCTTGGGTCATCAAAAGGGATGGAGTGTCCATGATCTTCAGCGTCAAAAGCACAGGCATGAAGGAGTAACTTCATTAGCTGGTAGAAGTAGCCAAAGGTGACATGATCATGCACACTTAGCCAGACAAACCTTCACAACTTGTAATATTAATAAAATACTAACAAAGTTAACATAACAGGACAATTTAAGTGACTATAACTCTGACTGCAGGAGCTAGGGAACTCACCATCTACTTACTTTTCCCCACTTGCTCTGTTTTCTAACCCCTACTAATTTGCCTTCCAGCAGTTATTGACATCCTCACTCATTAATGTTATCGTTACTCCTGTACTATCTGTGTACGTTAGCCCGGGGGCTTATCTAACTTTAGATCTGCAAACTATATCTCTGCTTCCACAAAGGCTAGCGAGGCCAGCGCCTGCCAGGAAGATGCTATCCCAAATTGCTGTCTCCAGCCCTTCACTAAAATAATACATTGTTGAAAAATTGCTCTATGAGTGTCACCCTTGCTGACTCTGGATGGCTCTGTTGACCTGAGGTGGCTGAACCACATGAAGGTTTTTATGGGTCTGTTTCAGCCTTTGGTTAAGAGACCTGGTTCTTTCTGTGCAGGCCATAGAGGTTCATGCTTTTAGACCAACATGTCTGGGGTTCTGTCCCCATGAATAGCAACACTCCCCTTCCTGCCCATGTGAATCATTTTACATGAGCATCACATTTGAAGTCTCCCAGTGTATTTTCTGGATTTACTTAGGTGGTAAACTCCCTAGGCCAAGGACACTGTCAACTCTTAAAAAAACATAATTAATAATAAAGCACAATGCCTTTCTTTGCTTTTGCGAGGCAAATAATAATATGATGATAGCACCTAGGTACACACATCAGGAATTAGGGCACCACTGTGTAATGCACGGAGTATAACCAGGAAAAAGTCAGGAAGCTCAGGAACTGACGTGTCCACTACAAACCAAGAACTAGAGGCTTGTGGCTCCTTTGAAGTTCCCTATACCCAGTTTAGCTTTTAGTCTATTGCTATGACAAGATGTACCATTTGGATGAGACAAACAAACGGTGGCGGGTGAAGCACAAGTTAATGGAGCAAACTATCACACAATAAACAGAAGTCTCAGCTCACCGCATACCTAGCCATTGGCAGCTAGCTTCGTAGGCATCATGGTAGAGGTTCAGTCTTAAAATAGTGACTTGTATCATATCGCATAATAGCATAACATAGCACATAGCATAACATAGTAACTTAGGCCTGGTCTACACTAACCCCCCAATTCGAACTAAGGTACGCAACTTCAGCTACGTGAATAACGTAGCTGAAGTTCGAAGTACCTTAGTTCGAACTTACCTCGGTCCAGACGCGGCAGGCAGGCTCCCCCGTCGACTTCGCGGTACTCCTCTCGCCGAGCTGGAGTACCGCAGTCGACGGCGAGCACTTCTGGGTTCGACTTATCTCATCCAGACAAGACGCGATAAGTCGAACCCAGAAGTTTGATTTGCTTGCCGCCAAACTACCGGGTAGTGTAGACCTACCCTTAGTTACTCCACGGTAACTCTTTTGAAATCAATGGAGCTTGCACTGATGTGTGCATTTTCCTATCCATTGTTTGTTTGTTTATTTGTTTATTTATTTTTTGGCGAAGGCGAAACTGAGTGATAAAACCAGCCAATATAGTATCTTACAATAGGCATCATGCAAACTGAGTGGGTTAGGTAACAATGCAAAACATTTCCATTGTAAATCAAAAGTGAGAAACAATCTAGGGTCAAAATAAAGTATAGAAAAGCGTTGCCCCGTAGTTACACAGAGGATGAGTAACAGAATGAGTTTGCAGATAAATGCCTCTTCTTCAGAGTTAATAGGGCAATCCAGCCCCAGGACCGGGTAGTATGTAACTTTGCTGCTTCAGGAACAGAGTAGCAACAGAGTGTGAAAGTCACAATGTGATTTCTGCTTCCCATTGCTCCAGAGCACAGGGATGTTCACCATCCCCCTTTCAGTAGCAGGTTATTGCTCCATGTGTGCATTGGGGGACCCACTCACCCACCGCCTGCTCAGAGAGGGACTATCAGCCTGCTGGCAGTTGCTCTTCCTCCTTCCATCACTGTGACAGCTCCAGGGATGTGGGTAGCCCATGCAGGAGTGTGTGATGACTCCTCACTCTCCTGTATTGCTGTGTCCAGGCACACAACAGGACTCTCAGTTCCCCTCACAGAGCAGAGTACAACATTTAGTGATATTATCATTTGGTAATGTTACTATCAGCTGTGCTAATGTGGCTGCTGTTTGGGGTAAGACACCCAAAATAGCTCTGGAAGGAAGACACTGAAACATAATTGAAAGACTCGGCGAAAACATTTTTCACTTGCCGTGAGTAAAAAAGAGACTCCATTTTGCTGAGAGAAATGTGCTCCTACGCTATTAAGCCATCCACATCTGCCAGCTGCTTGATTTTAATCTTCACTTCCCCATCTCTCCTCACTTCTCCATAGGCAGGCAACCAGAGAGGAAGAACAGCCTTTCAGGTATCTACACAGCATTTTGTCACATGATGTGACTGTCATTTGACACAACCCTGTTTTGCATAATATTTATTTCTCTTCCTGAAAGTGGGGAGGAATGGGACACTACGACCTGGAGAGGTTTCAAATGCTCCTGTCATGGAAGTTGCTGACTCTTAGAAATCATTCCAGATGGGACGGAATGTCTCTACAGTAGCTGAATATTTTAACAATCTGGTCATGGTTTTCTCAATTGCAGGAGCTTCAAATAGTAAAATACAAGGGAAATAACACGAATTAAGTTGTTCAGTATGTTGACCACCGGGAGAAAAGCGTTGTGATGAATTATTGTTTCTGTTTGTTAACCAGCAAGTCCCCAAAAACCTAAAACCACTATTGCCATGTAAAGAATGCTTTTTTATGAGAGCTATTAAACCCCTCTCCCCTGCATATAACTATTTTCTGTTGATGTCACTAATAGGATTTTGATCTATTAGAAGTCTCCTCCCATGCAACACGTTAGGCACAACTGAGCCCAAATATTCTCCTTTTCTAGAGTTTCAAACCAGTAAATGTCACTAACATCCATCACCGAGCCACCTATTCAGTCCCATTCTCTCTCTGGGCACATGACGGGGTCAGATCCTCAGCTGGTGTAAATGACTGTAGTTCTATTGGCTTTGGTGGAGTTACGCCACTTTATAGCATCTGAGGATGTGACAGATTTTCCTCTAAGACTGTGCATAGGGGGAGAAAATTAAACAAGTAAGAAAAATTACTCTCCATACTATTAACTGGCACTGCTCCTCTGCCCATTCACTCTCCTATTGCTAGAGTATAAATCAGGATCTAGCTCTCATTTCCACATTGTGTCATACCTGCAGTTCCTCTTGCATGTCAAAACAAAACCCATCTTCATACCAGCATTCTCAAGCAATGGCATTTGCATGCAGCCTCTTTACTAATCCTATAATAGTTTGAGGGCCAAGATTTAGACAATTATGACAAAGCATATGAAAAATGTTCAGCCGGCAAATTGTTTGACTGCTTGAACGTTTTAATCTCTCTTTTTGAAAAGTGATGTAGCCTGGAACATTGGAACGGGGACAGAAAAAGCCTGTTGTTTCTGTTTGAGCAGAGTGAGGTTCTTTTTTTAAAAAACAACAACAACTTGTCATGATTTCAAACACTTTTATTTATTAAATATAATCCCCCCAAATTTAAAATGCTTATAACCCCTGAAGCTTTTAACTAGCACAATGCCTAACATCATAACCCTGATCTTGGTTGGGGTGTCTAGTCTTTATTCTCAGAATAATAGTAAATAATAATAATATAATAACTAGGGGCATCATTTAAAAAAAACATGCCAATTGTAATCACGACCCCCATATTCGCAGCCCTTTTAAAAAGGATGAATTGCCCATGGAGGTGGCTGCCTTTACTCATCTTGCTCACACAAATCAGCAACTTGATGGCATAAATGTGGGATTTTGCAAATGCAAGTGGTACATGTTCATATTTTGATGCCGCATCCATTGCATTTGATATATTAATAGGCAGCACAGCGCCTCTTCCTAATAGAGTAGGGCTTCTCTAGTGTCTTCATGGTGTAGACTACATTTTAACACTGAGATTTTCTAATGGACACCTATAGACTCACAATTACATAACATCGAAGAGGCAACTCTAGCATCATCTTATTTGAAAAACATTAGGAAAGTACTTAGGCTGTGTATTTTTAGCTCTCCTTTAATTCAGCTGAGCAACTGGACACAAGGAGCTAGCACCATGTGGCAGGCAGCCTCTTTTGGATTATCAGCAGTTCTCCATCGAGAACCAGTGATCTTGGAGTACATTTTGGGAACCTTTGTATTAGAGTATTGTCACCATCTCATTTCTGTCTTGGTCCTTATCTTCAAGTCCCTTAATGTCCTGGGCCCAGAAGATCTAAAATATTGCCTAAAGCTCCAGGATGGAGGACTGTGGTTAACAACTTCACTTCTCAGTCACAATGGAACTTTCCACCACAAAGGTACAGCTGGTCTATGCAAGAGACAGAGCTTTGACTGATTCCATACTGTGGAACAAACTCCCATAAGAACCAAGGATCTCCCCACCTTCTGCTCCAGGTGCAAGACATGCTGCTTTGATCTTCTCTAATGTGAACACATAGCAGTGTTTACATATTTAAGAAATAAAAGGAAAACCCTACCAAAACAAACACTACACACTCAGTTCTCCTTATTAACATAAACATAGTATTTACTTCCTGTTCTAAGAACAAGGAAATATGGCAGTGCAGCACTGCATCTCTGGCACCACCATGTGGGCAACTTTTAGCACTGTTGACTTTTGAGTGGCGACTGCTCTATCTTGAACATTTAGGGCCTGTTTCAAAGCCGATAGAAGTCAATAGAAAGACTCCCATTTACTTCAGTGATCTTTGGATCAGGCCCCTGGGATCCCAGTTGTCTGACTATTGTGAGGATGATGCAAAGGTGTCAGAAACCACAGAAAACCTCTCTGGCCCATGCAAAGAGATAAGCTTCGATGCAGCCTCTGCATTCCCTGAGTCACCAAAATATTCTCAACACTTCAGGTTCTTCCATCACAGACCTATATCCAGGTCCCATTGAAATCAATGGAAGCCACATAGTCACATCCAAGGGGAGGATTTGGGTTGAATAGATATTTGCATTTTGGTTACATTGGTTATGTTACACATCCGTTGTTAAGAGTTTCATATTGAGGGTGTTTCTGAAAATATCAAACCAAGCAACATTGCCATTTTCACCAGCCTTCCTGTCCCCAGACATTTAGCTTTGCACTTACAGCTGGGCATTTTCATTCAAACACTGTCCACTTCCCACAGCCTCTCCTTGGCATTTAATTTCGACAAACACCATCTAAACAGAGGAGAATGGTGTATATATTATTTTAATTTCTCTGGTAGAATGATTTTATACATCAAAATAAAATAAGAGAATATATTTATCCTTTAAGAGAGAACCTGCTCTGCAATAGTTGATAGAGTGTGCCATCTACTGGAAGCCATTAGTGTTAGCAGCATCGTCATGAACTTTTATTCCTACTAGTTGTAATGTCTGCTGATATGTTATTTTTGTTCTTAACAGAACCTCCTCGGTGGATAAAGAAACCCACAAGTGACGTTTACAGCATAGAGTCAACTGCTTTGCTATTGTGTGAAGCTACTGGCAAGCCTGAGCCAACTATAAAGTGGAAACGTAATGGGATGCCTATTGATAGTAAGTACAGGATACAAAATAGTGTGCTCATGTTACACTGACAGATGCTGGTTGTCGGTGGGTGGGATCGAACTGGGGACTTCTGGAGCTTAGTGCATAAGCCAAAAGCCAACTGGCGGTTAGCTAAGGCTGTAGAGTAGGCTCTAAGTGGTCTTGGTGCCACTAGATGGAACAGACACCACACCTAGAAGGTGTGTGGGTTACATACTTCCCCTAGCTGAGGAAGCACGTCCCGAGCTTCAGAGTCTTCCCAGTTGAAATCCTGGATGAGCCCCCACTTGTAATGCCGACAGACCCCAGTCGTTGGCGGGCGGGATCAAACCGGGGACCTCTAGAGCTTAGTGCATGAGCCTCTACCGCATGAGCTAAAAGCCAACTGGTTGTTAGCTAAGGCTGTAGAACAGACTCATTTAACTCTCTCTCTGAGTGGTCTCGGTGCCATTAGATGGGACAGAACACCACCCCCAGAAGGCGTGTGGGTTATACTCAGCTGGACAAGATTAGCATATACTATACTCCCAGCACAAAAGTTGGTGCATAACTCCAAATGCATCATATTATAGTGGATTTGTCTGGTTTAGCCAAAGTGAATACTTCATGGTGATAATGAAGGGAGTAGAATTAAAGTAACAATAATATGGAAGCTACAAGTGTAATTTAAAGCCTATGGCCAGTCAGTGTATGTTTCTCATCTTTAGGAACTGGATCAGAATCTTACAATACTAGGGCCCCGCTAGGATTCTTGACTAGCACAGAGATAAGCCACAAAATGGCTGAAGAGTAAAGGCCCTGCTCCCTTCTTGTTCCTCCCCTGGCACTATCTGCTTGAATAAGGGTAGGGAAGGGCTAGGCCATGTCCGTCTGTCTCTCTATCTCTCTCTGCCACAAACACACCTGAACCAGCCAGCACATCCGGCTGTACGCTGAACCCCTCTAATGAATTCTAGCTGAGAAAATCAGAATTCCTCCCAGGGACCCAATCTTCAGCATGGCCCCTCCATTCTCACTCCAGGTTACCCAGGACGCTGTCTATCCCAGGGATCGGCAACCTTTGGCACGCGGCCTGTCAGGTAAATCCACTGGCGGGCCGGGACGGATTGTTTACCTGCAGCGTCTCAGGTTTGGCCGATCGCAGCTCCTAGTGGCTGCAGTTTGCCGTTCCAGGCCAATGGGGGCTGCGGGAAGGGCGGCCAGCACGTCCCTCGGGCCACGCCGCTTCCTGCAGCCCCCATTGGCCTGGAACGGCGAACTGCGGCCACTGGGAGCTGCGATTGGCCAAACCTGAGATGCTGCAGGTAAACAAACTATCCTGGCCCGCCAGCGGATTTCCCTGATGGGCCACGGGCCAGAGGTTGCCGATCCCCGGTCTATCCCATCATACTGTATATAGGGGTAAAGAACATATAGTATGGCTGAAATTCAAAGTTTTGTAGGTGATTTGGACATTCTTTTTAATGAGAACTGGGTAGTCGGATGCCTTAGGTGCTTCTGGAAATCTGCACAAACATATACGAAATATAAACCATGCTATTTCTGTCATAGGTCAAATGTAGATAAACATTTTACTGAAAGCCAAGCTATCCACTTCTCTTTCTCACTGGGAATGATGACATGTGCAATGCTTTAGAGCAGCTTTCTGGTGGTTGGGGAACTGTTAGCCTAATACTGAATATGCAACTTGCCCTTTTGGCTTGCATCTGAAATGGAAGCAGTTCAGAGATGCTCTGTGAACTCAAAGTAATGCTCATTCCTCATCCTACTGACATGCTTTGATTCCTTTCAGAAAGGACCTATAGGGGCAGAGTCTCTGCCGGGGAGATCAGCATTACCAACCTACAACTGCAGGACAGCGCAGTGTATCAGTGTGAGGCAACTAACAAGCATGGCACCATCCTTGCCACTGCCAATGTGAATGTTTTAAGTAAGTACTCCACAACATTAGATTATTTATGGAAAGGATGCGGTTGCCAAGGGACCCAATCCTGCTCACCCATCACTGCTTGAGGCTAAATCATGGGAGTAAAAGTTTTTACAATTAGACCCACAGCTTACCAAAGCTGGCAGTTGTTCTATGGCTTTCATCATTAATCTCAGGATTCTAACAAGTTCATTGTAACTTTGCATTGGTCCAAAATTTGAAGAGATGCTATTTATTGTGTAATCTGATTCAAAGAGCCTTGCATCACGTGCACTATATTATTCGTTTAGGGTAAACACAAAATGACTCGTGTGTATACTCTATTTTAAGAATTGTGCCTCGCTCAAAGACTTCTATTAAATAAAACAATAACGGATAGTTGAGTTGAGACCGATGGTGTGGAACCGGGATTGTGCCCTTAACTGTACAATTATATTATTACACAGATCATTAATCTGGAACTTCAGTTTTTATTACCAATTTGTTCATTTAAGAAACAATCATAATGCTGGGAATTGACTTAGTGGAAGCAGTCCCCATTGGCAGCAGAACCAATGTAGTTTCCCCATTTCTGGAGCATGTCCTAGGCCCTACAGCCCCGGCATTTCATAGAACCAACCTCCTGTTGTCTTTCACAACAAGGTTTCCTGTTGCGTTTACACAGTGGTGCTTGAGAGGGAAGCCAGGGACTAGCTCCAGAGAAGAAGAGAGAGAGTATGACTGTGAATTCCTCATTAAGTAGATACACCAGCCATTGATCCTTATGAGCTGGTGGCAGCAGCTGTCGAAGCATCTGAGCTGCAGTTGTACTGAGCAGTGGTAGAACAGCTGGAGGCTCCAGAGATGGAATGATTCCCTGTTGTGCAGTTCCCTGTTGCACCAGCCCAGTTACTTGAACTCATTGTGGTGCTAGTGGTGGGGAGGGCACTGGAAAGCGGATCTGAGAAATAACATGTTTGATTCTCACGCCAAAGCATAACACAGCTGATTTACATTCTGTTTTGCAGATATTGCTCCATTAGTGCTAACCTCAGACAGTGAAGATTATGCCACAGTTGTTGGTTTCAATGCTTTCTTGCACTGTCAAGTTTTTGCTTCACCTCCCGCTGTCATTATTTGGTAAGCCATTGATAACTGTTTGCCTGCTGCTCGTTTTAAAGCGCTGGTTTTATATTGAACATGTTGTTTAGCTGTACAAACACATTGAAACTTTTCAGTCATCATGTTTGAGTTAAATTTAATAATGAATAAGATAATATCAGTATGGTGGACTTAAACAAGCTTTTTATCCAAGGATCTCAAGGCACGGTGCTGTATGAAGATTAATAAAACCCCACAACATCTGTTTGAGGAAGGTATTGTAATATCCAATAGGCTGGTAAACTGAGACATGGTGCGGCTAACGTGACTTGCTCAGAGATATTCAGTCACTCAGTGACATAGCTGGGAACAGAATCCAGAAATCTTCATGTTATTCCTTTGCAATAATCACTAAACCTAAATTCCTCCTGGTTTGAAAGCCTGGTTCCAAGACTCTTGAAAATAATTGGTAACCATTATTATACTGTTAGGATGAGGGATGACAGCACAATGCCACTTGAAGGTCTGCGGTACACTGTATATGAAAATGGCACCTTGGAGATCAGAGAGACAAAGAAAGAAGATTCTGGGTCGTACACTTGTTGGGTGACAAATTTGGTTGGAAAAAGTGCAATCACTGCCAATCTGGGTATCAGAGGTAACTTCTCATTTTATGAATAGACACATCTTTGAAACATGTTAAGTCTTTAGAGAAAATGTATTCCAAAACAGAGGTATATTCTGCTTCTTGTAATTGCTTCAAAAATTATCACATGGTTTATGGACAATACTTGATTCAGAAGGACCCAGTCCAGCAAAAGAAGCAGCATCATGTATGGATGATGCAAGGGACAACTATGCAAGGTTTAATGCAAGGAATGTGCAAGAATCAAGACAAGGTATGCATTCTTGCATATATAGTGCATGGTCCTTCCCCCATGAATGGATGATCCTCACATTGTCCTGGGCACTGCAATAAAAATGACAAGGCACAAGGAATGTGGCTTAACTAGGTCACAGCTTTATTAACACATCTGGCAATAACTTGTCCAGTGCAGATCAGACTTCCTTCTGTAATCCATACCATCTTGGGGAGGACTGGCCTCATCTCATCCCCTTCCACACCATTAACCTGGTCCCAGCAGCATTGCTGCAACCCCACTGTCATCCCCCTTTTTGATTGTTGAGGGCATGGGTATTGGCCCTTGCTATACCAGACATTAGGAACCTTCCACCCCACTTCTTTAGGGGTTGTTGTCTCCAAACTCTACCACTAATTCCAATTTTTCAGGGGATTGGACCCCCTAGTGCATGAGTACCTGCACTGGGCACCTGCCAAGTTTCAACAACATGAGTGATAACCTCCTCTACCCTCTCAGATTAGAGTAGGATCTGGGTTTTGGAGTCTTGCTGTGGGCATTATGCTAGCAGCCTTTTTGAGACCGGGAAGGAGTTTTTTCCATATTCCTATATTGGCCTGAGCACCGGGGGGGCAGGAGGGGGAGGGTTTGCTTCGTCTCAGCAGCCCAGAGACTCAGTGGATATGCTGGGTTTGTAATGTTTGGGTTTTGGGATAATTATAGCATTCCTGTAATGTGTGTTACCTTTAAATTACTGATGTATACTTTCAGCTTTAACTCCATTTTAACACAGGTTTTGTGGGGGTTTTGTGTGTGTCTTGAAATGGAGGATGGGGT